GTCGCCAGGGGGCGTGGCCAGCCTGAAAACAGCCCTCAGCCCCTCACCCAGGCTGGCCAGGCACCCCAGCAGGACCCCCACCCTGATCCAGATCACCCTTCAGGGCAAACCAGCTGGCCTCCACCCATGCACCAGGCCTCTATCCTATATAATAAAAGGGTAATATGCAAATTGACCCTAACAGCAGAACGACTGGGAATGACTGGTCACTATGACACACACTGACCACCAGGGGGCAGACGCTCAATGCAGGAGATGCCCTCTGGTGGTCAGTGCGCTCTCACAGCAGGGAGCTCTGCTCAGCCACAAGCCAGGCTGATGGCTGCCAGGACAGCGGTGGTGGTGGGAGCCTCTCCCGCCTCCTCAGTAGTGCTAAGGTCTGCTCCCCGCTGGCAAGTGGGCATCCTCCGAGGGCTGCCGGGCTGCCAGAGGGATGTCTGACTGTCATCTTAGGCCCAATCCCCTGGGGAGCGGGCCTAAGCCAGCAGGTGGTTATCCCCTGAGGGGTCCCAGACCGCGAGAGGGCACAGGACGGTCCCAGACTGAGAGGGCACAGGCCGGGCTGAGGGACACCCTCCCTGAGTGCACAAATTTTTGTGCACCGGGCCTCTAGTTTAATATAAAACCAGAGGCTGACCCTACTCTAAGCATTTTCCAAAAGCATTGTTCAATAAAAAAGATAAAACTGGCCCAAATGAAGTCATTTGTGCTAACTCCCATGTCACCAAACTGAGACCTAACCTAACTGCAGTTGTAGCTTCTGAGGAATGTAATCTTAGTCAGTCAGTCTGGAATTTCCTGATCAGCACTAGTGAGGTAATTCACCTAGTTAGACCCCTTTTACCCCCTAAAAGGAGATGCCCTTGCCTGAAACAAGCCACTCTTTCCCTGTCCCTCCTCCTTTTCTGCCTATAAAAGCCTTCCATTCTTTCTGCTAGATGGGATGCTGCTTGATTCATGAATTATTGAATAAAGGCAAATAGATCTTTAAATTTACTCAGTTGAACTTTGGGGTGTTTTTAACAGCATTTTTCAAGTAATTTTTTTTACGTTATACATCAACACAATGGTAGAGAAGACTATAATGATTTAGAGCAAGCAATGTGAAAGGGCGTGTGAGGAATGTAGACAAGTTAGGTAGGGGTAGGTTTTTTTTGTTCTTGCTCTTCACCAAACACAGCAGAGGCCCCACCTTCCTCCTAAACTTCTCCAAGGCTTATGTCTCTACATGTTAGAACTTGTCTGCACCTCTGGCTGACTGTTTGATGAGGATCCAGAATCTGCCAGGCAAAGACAGAGGAAGAGAGTGTCTAGGCAGAGGGAACAGGAAAAGCTATGAGGCAAGAAGAAGCCTAACATTTCTTTGGAATTTCCAATATGCCTGGAGCTTTATGAATAATGGGAAAGTAACAGGAAACATGGCCAGAGAAGCTGGCAGAGGCAGAGCCACAGAATGAGATATTTGTTTTATTGTAAGCTAATAGGAAGCAAGGGCCTAACATGACCTGATTTACATCTTTAATAGATCCGTTGGCTACTGTGTGGAGAATGAACTGCAGGGTGGCAGAGGGGCTCCAGAAGAAGCCCAAGCAGCAGTGACCTTTCTGGGGGGGGGGGGTTTCTCAGAAGAGAAGGCAGGGGCAGCAGCAGTAGTGCTGGGGAGAAGGAATGGCTTCAGGGCACGTTTTGGAGATGAATACCCAGAAATTGTTAATAGACATATACATATACATGGGGGGGGGGGATCATGCAAAGAGTGGTAACTTTTACTGAAATTGGGAAGACTAGGGGGATAGGCATGGGGAGGGGAGATTAAGAGCTTGTTGATGGGCATATCAGGTTTGAGATGCTCACTAGAGACATAAGCAGAAATATCAATTAGGCAGTTGGGTGGGGCTCATGGGAAAATACTGGAGTGAATCTACACATTCAGAAATTATCTGCATCTAAATGGACCCTTAAAGTCATGATATTTCCATCCCTGTGACAGTTGTTTTTTATTGTAAACCAAAGGCCCGGTACACAAAATTTGTGCACTGGGAGGGGGCTGTCCCTCAGCCTGGCCTGCACCCTCTCCAATCTGGGACCCTTCGGGGGATGTCTGACTGCCCACAGGGATCAGGTCTAAACCGGCACTGGGACATCCCTCTCACAATCTGGGACTGCTGGCTCCCAACCAACTGCTTCTGCCTGCCAGCCTGATCACCCCCTAACCACTCCCCTGCCAGCCTGATTGACGCCTAACTGCTCTCCTGCCAGCCCGATTATTGCCCCCAGCCCTCCCCTGCTGGCCTGGTCATCCCCAACTGCCCTCCCCTGCTGGCCATCTTGTGACGGCCATCTTGTGACCACATGGTGGTGGCCATCTTGTGCAAGGGCATGATGGTCAATTTGCATATTACCTCTTTATTATATAGGATTAGTAAATTGAGTAATTCACAAAGGCAGAGGGAGCCAAGTTGGGCCTGCCCCTCTGCTTTGCCTATGAACCAGGAGGTCACAATTTGATTCCCCTTCAGGGCACATGCCCAGGTTGCTCCTCAATCCCCAGTAGGGGGCATGCATGAGGCAGCTGATCAATCATTTTTCTTTCTCATCCATGTTTCTCTCTGTCTCTCCCTCTCCCTTCCTCTCTGAAATCAATAAAAATACTTTTTTAAAAAAATGCATCGCAGTGCTTATTTGGTTGAATAAGAAAATATCACACAAGGGGAAACTTTAAGCAGATTAGGAGGCCAAAACTAAACCCTAGTTTAGAGGTGGCCACAACTCAGTGACCAGAGTTGATGACTTTGTACTCTATTATTACAGAATATTTGAGAACATTATAAGAGAAAGATGGTTGTAAAAATCACTTGATGAAATAAACATCAAAAAAGTATTAATAGAAACTCTAGAATTAAATTAACATTAAATGATTTCAATTCATCCCTTTAAGTCATTGATTAACTTCCACTATGCGATTGTTGTCTTGACTTCCTACACTGCTGGGGCTTTTTTCTCAGCAGAGGAGACAGACATACTGTGGGACAGAGCTGGATAGAGGCAGGTGTAAGATGCTTTCTACTGAGGCAGGAAGATGATAGGTAATTCCAATGTGAAAAGATAAGCAAATCACCTTAGAGGTGATTGCTCAAACACTGAACATAACCTTGGTTGATTTTACAAAGACTTTACATTCCTACTTGGAATAAAAGTTTTCATTTTCACTTCAGTGTTATTGAAGTAATTAAATGAAGTAAATCGACACATTAATGTTTCTGGGAGCCCTTAACAGCATTTTTAGTGGAGTCTTTTAAAGAGATTTCCATTTTCTCCCCATTCTCCTTTATCATTTACCACTTTTTCTGTGTAAATCTGAAAGATTTTGGAGAGCAACAGTCAACTTTTCTTAAAAACCCAACCCTGTATTTACTTATGGGAGCTACATGGAAGGGTAGCATTAGAGGAAACAGGAGAGGGGTGAAGTGGAGCCCCTGACCTCCGTTTCACTCCACCCCACGTTGCCACAGAGCGGCCCCTTTAACTAAAGGAGCTGTGTTCCGGGGCTGAGACACATTCTTCCCTGCTGCCAGAGCGGGAAACCAGCCAGGCCTGCATTCCATTGGAGCTGGTTCCTAGCCATTTCTGTTACCCTTTAGTGCTGCTTCTTTTTCAAGAACCGGTGAGAGCCCAGTCAGCTTGGCATTCTGGCTTTTTTGTTTTCTCTTTCTCCTCAGCCCCTCCTTTCCTCTCTTGGACACTCTTTCCTGTGGCAGCGGGGTCCCGAATCCCCTGAACCAGCCTGAGAAAGCGGAGCCAGCTCTGCTTGCTTTCTCTTAACTGCGCCTCTTTCCTCTCACCCTGATGGCTGCACAAGACATTTGCGTGTTAAGAGTCAAGAATCTGTTTGGTCTTTGGTTTTCATCTTTCCTCTCACCCTGATGAGTGTTAAGAGTCAAGAATCTGTTTGGTCTTTGGTTTTCTCTTTTAAATACATTTTTATTGATTTCACAGAGGAAAGGAGAGGGAAAGAGAGATAGAAACATCAATGATGAGAGAGAATCTCTGATCCGCTGCCTCCTGCATGCCCCACACTGGGGATCGAGCCCACAACCCAGGCATGTGCCCTGACTGGGAACTGAACTGTGGCCTCCTTGTTCATAGGTCAAGGCTCAACCACTGAGCCATGCTGGCCAGCTGGTCTTTGATTTCAAAATTATTTAGGATTAACTGCCTTAGGTAAAAGAATTCTCCTTAAGATCTCATGTAACTGACTAGAAATGTACATTGGGGTTTGGGTCCATTGCCCTGATTAGTTATAAACCTGCCTTGCTTTGCTAGTCATTGACCTGAACATGCATTTTTCTCAGGGACCTGGAATAGAGGAATGGCTACAGCAGGGCAAGAGTCACTGTATTTTGGGGTCCCTAGGTCAAAATCTCTATTATAGCACTCTTTACTAGCACCTGCATTTCATTATTATCAACAGTCAGGCTTGTTAAGGCCTCTAAAAGCCCCAGACATTTTTCAATGTCTGAACTTTAGATTAGTTATTAAAAAGGAACTCTTGCCCTACACGACGAACTGTGCCTGGATGAAATGACCCATTCCAAAAAGAGAGCATTGCCCTTCCCTATTGCGCCAGGACCCACTGTGCGCCATAGCGGTAGGGTCCCTCCAACAGGAGATAATCACAGACACATACATACTCACAGCCACAGCTCAGTTTGAGGTTTTACCTATGAGAGTCTATTTATTAAAACTTTTGTAATACTTTATTCTCCCCACTTTTCTGCATTATCCCCTAAGGTCAGTTTTATTCTAGACACTCAGCCCATGAAGTCAAATCAGGAGAGAACTCTGCCCATGTTCATCTACAAAGACAATGTTTTCACACCGGTTATTCTAGTTTCCTTCTGAGACTTTTCTCACTGAGAATGACAGAACTCGGGCTCTATGTGCCACAGCCTTTTCAGTCTTCCGTCTGGAATGGACCTGAGCCCAGTAACCTTCCTTACCTTTAGTTGAACTAGATGCACATCCACATGCTTGCTGTCTGAATCCTGCTGGACTGAGTGGGTTAGGTCCCGGACTCTCTCGGAGGTCATCCGGAGCCAGGTCTCAATTTCAGGTAAGTGAAGGACAATCTTCCAGTCGGCCCCTGTATGCAATGGGGGTGGCTTTTCATACTGCTGGTCAGAATCCATATCCTTCACCACCTCTTCTCCCTCGCCCTGCTCCACGGTGGGTGTCAAGTTGATGGCCATGGGTGAAGCGTCAGTAGCCATGGGATCCAGGTCCTGTGACCTCAGGGGGGAAAGTGTCACACTCATGGTTAACATGGAGAAGTCTAAGCCTTACTTCTTTCCAAAACAGCTGAAAGGCAAGAGGAAAGAAGAAAGCAAGAGTCAGACAAGATTGCCAAATAAAGAAATGATACTTCACAGAAGAAACAGGATTTCTAAATTAAGCCAGATTTCTAAATTAAGAAACCATAGCTCGTAGCAAAAACAGAAAGAGGTGTTTTAAGTTTCTACATAGTAGCCCCAAGACCCAGCATGTAATAGGAACACAAAACCATGTGGTATTGCCTACCCCAACATCGATTCTCTCCTCACTCCTTAGTAACAACATCCTGATTTTCAGCTGTGCCTATTCCTGCCAAGAATTTAAAAGTGCATTCCCTATCTCCATCATAGCTAGGTGTGGCCAAGTGGCTAAGTTCTGACCAATGAGATGGAAGTAGAACTCCTGTGTAGAAAGTCTGGGAAAGCTGCTTAAAGGGAGTTGACTCAATTATGAGGGGCCCTCTTTTTGCCCTTCTGCTTTCCCCCTTCTCCTAGCCTGTAACGTGGACTTCCAGTTGCCGTCTCAGACCAGAAGATGCCTCTGAGTAAGTCAGACAGAGGATGGTAGAGCAAAGTGGTAGGAACATGGATCCCACACGATAACGAGCAACTACTGGACTGCTGCCCTGGACTTCTTTTATTTTGAGAAAGACAAACTTCTGTCTTGTTTAAGCCACACGAGTGTTTGGGGCTTTTCTACAAGCATACAAGCATCATTTTGATTACTGAAACCAATATATTCAATACATGGGATAACAAGAGAGGGAACATGTTTGAGCTGGTGAAAACAGTGTGCTGAATTCAGAGAAGGCTGCTCCTCTCTATGATTTGTTAGATAAATAGATATGTAGTAATTCCAAACCTTTACTTTCCTGAAAAGTATAAATCATGGCCTATATAGAATATATCTATAATTAAATAACTCTCAACCTAAATGAAATTAGTATTTGGTCATGCTGACATTTTGAGACTCTGGAATTTCAAGAGTAATAAATTGCTCTTAAACACATAACATTAAAATGTTAATCAAATACATGAAAAATAATATAAGTGTAGGTCATAATAAGGTAAGGTTACTTTTTAAGATAAAGTTGATAAGATAAATTATCTAGCTATGTAAAAGATAAATTACCAGTGTATTATAAAATAACTTTTTGGCCTTGTACACTGAACATTTTAAATAGACATTATTTTTAATTTCAGGAGTTTCTTTTACTCAAGACAATGGGTTTCATATACTTTTAAAAGACTTTTTCTGGTTCTACACATTCAAGTCACTTTATAGCTCCTTTCATCTAAGATGAAATATAAAATTAAATGTGATTATTAGAAAGTAGCCCATATGTCTTTAGATTCTGAATATTCACTTAGTATCAACAAAAAATTCTTTAACGGCTCTGGCTGGTGTGGCTCAGTTGGTTGGGCATTGTCCTGGGCATGACGGGGTTGCCAGTTCAATTCTGGGTGAGGGCACATGCCCAGGTTGCAGACTCGATCTCGGGTAAGCGGATAAATGTTTTTCTCACATCGATGTTTCTCTCTCACACACACACACTTTTACTCTCTCTCTCCCCCCTCTCCCTTCCTCTCTATTTAAAAATCAATTAACATTCTTTATAAAATATTTTACCTACAAAAATGGGAGAAGGAGGTCAAGAAAGATCCCAATTTGACTAGGACATGTAATTTTCCATACAGGAATGAGCACAGGTAATTAAAAGACTTGTTGAATTAACAAAAGCCTTAAAAATAAGTTACTCCTGCCCTGGCCAGTGTGGCTCAGTTGGTTGATCATCATCCTGTGCACCAGAAGGATGCTGGTTCGATTCCCAGTCAGGGCACATACCCCCATGATCAAACCTGGGTTGCAGGTTTGATCATGGGGGTATACAGGAAGCATCCAATTGATGTTTCTCTCTCACATCGATGTTTCTCTCTCTAAAATCAATAAAAATATTTTTAAAATAAACAAAATAAAAAATAAGTTATTACTATGCCATGTTTCCGAAACCTTCCAATGTTACACCATGCTGCCCCTACCCAACTTATTGAGCATCATATTTTTAAGTTAAATGATAAGGAGGTTTACAGATAAATTTTTGAAAGCAAAGTTATTTGCTAAAGGTAAAATATTATGTCATAAAATAGGTTTATTGCTTTGGTACCTGCTGCCTTTGAGAATCCGCAGGCCGACGCTCTATCCACTGAGCCAAACCGGTTTCGGCTACAGATAAATTTTTGAAAGCAAAGTTATTTGCTAAAGGTAAAATATTATGTCATAAAATAGGTTTATCGCTTTGGTACCTGCTGCCTTTGAGAATGGTACCTGCCTTTTAGGCTTAAATTCAACAGCTTCCTCTGCCTGAGTATAAGAGGAAGAATCTACACCCTACATTTTTAAGTGCCTTTCTAAAATAACAATACTACTATACCTATTTTTAATTAGAAGATATCAAAATTTCACTGGGAGGGACAAAACTTCAGGAAGAATAAGCTACCACACTACTTCTTATAAAACTATACCCTAGCCCAGTGATGGCGAACCTATGGCATGCGTGTCAGAGGTGACACGCGAACTCATTTTTTTGGTTGATTTTTCTTTGTTAAATGGCATTTAAATATATAAAATAAATATCAAAAATATAGTCTTTGTTTTACTATGGTTGCAAATATCAAAAAATTTCCATATGTGACACGGCACCAGAGTTAAGTTAGGGTTTTCAAAATGCTGACACGCCGAGCTCAAAAGGTTCGCCATCACTGCCCTAGCCTAAGACAGATTCTGATTCCCAAAAGCAATTTTTAATTTTTAATCAATTCCTGCCCTCTGGGGGATCTGCTTAGAATCACAATCCCAGAGAAGGAACCTGATACACAAAGGTTAATAAAGGTTTCTAGTGCAAGGTCACAGAACTGGGGGTAAGTAGCGGGGACACTGGTGTCACAGTGGTTCCCTTTTCTAAGAAACCAGACTCATCCAAACAAGAAAACTAAATGGCAGGGCGGTGTACAATGAACTCTTTAAGTTACTCCCACACCCACTCGCCCCTAGACGCCTGCCCAAGAGCCCTGCATAGCTGATAAATGATGCTTGGTCACTGTGTTTTCTCTGAAACTCCTAAATCAAGGCTGTGCCTTCTCTGGAATATACATCATACTGTAAACTAAAGAACATGCCAAAGAATTGGCTCAGTGCAATTTATGTCCCAACATACATTTCTATAAATACCATCAGGCTGTGCACCAAGCAAGCACAGTGCAGTTTGTACGATTGAGGGTAAGATGCTCCACATTTCTGGGTCCCAGTTTCCTTGTTTGTAAAATGACAAACTTGGCCTCCATGATCTGTAAGATCCCATCTGTCACTAAAAATCTGTGATTACCTATTTATCCAGAAATAACAAAACTACTAGAAGTATCCTGCCTGTACTGAGAGCTGTGTAGCTACTAAGCAATGGCCTTCCATTTTACCAAAGCACACAAACAGCATCAATAGAATTGTCCTACTTAGTGGGAAGAAAGAAATTATCACCGTGCAAACGCATTTTGTAAATCATTATTTACACATTATGTGTTGCTTATTCTTTCCGGAGGAGCAAATATGGGAGATTATCCCCTCTGAGAGCTTACAATTTAAAACTGACAACACAAACAGATGTGGTTATATAGATAACAATAAAAATAATGTTAAATAAAACCATAGCTGTGTGCATCACAAATGAGTAAATGACAAATAAACCTTACATTCAAGCTGCCAAAACAAAATTTTCCTGCATTAAAAAATTTCAACCTGAATGTGATGTTTCTATATTTAACTCATCAAACTGTAAACAAGAAAATCTCCTTAACCCAGAGAAGTAAAGCACTTTACTCAAGTTTTATTTTAACTTCTGTCTACTTACTTTCCATAACATATAACTTTGCCACTGAAAAAGAAATACCATATGTGTCATAATAGCATAGCAAACCTGGGAAGGGGCATAAATTCGATTAGCTACCAATTTTCATGGAAAATAATTACTATAAAAATTTAATTATTAATTCTAGTAGTTCACATTTAAATGACCACCCTCAGGTAAACAAACTTTATTTCTGATTTTTACAAAGTCACATCTGATTTAAAAGATAAAGTTTATAATTTAAAGGAAAACTGTTTCACATTTTGAAGACTTATAGTAATATCTTTGTGTATATTTTCCCTGCCCTTCTCACAACTATTCAAGCTTGCTTTCCTATCAAATTAATTCTCCCAATTGAATGCAAATAAATAGTAGGAAATTCAGCACAAGTCTATGTGTTCTTCTAAGTACTATACATTTTGTATTCTTCCTTTACCAGGCATCTTGCAATAAGATTCCTTGCTAGTCACTGAGAAATTAAAAAAGAAGAAAAGGTCAGTAGACAACAACTCCTGAAGGTGCAAATGAAAGCACTGATTCTAGTGCTTACAGGGACCCACCCAGTTACAACTCTGACTCCAGAGCCGTGAGAGGACAGATCAACCAGCACCCGTGACCTCTGCCCCCCTCATCAAATGCTTATCTGTGGCCACCTTTCCAGCATTAGAGATAATACCACCTTCATCCCAGCTACTGTTAAAAATAACATAGATCAGATTCTTTCCTTTCTACAAATCCAAAGAAGATTCAACATTTAAAGTGTAAAAGCTGAACGCAGTAAAGATTTTAAAGAGTATTATTTTGTTTTACTCTATGGAAAAGGTTTTCCAATCACACTCTATTATCTTATAGAAACAGAAGAAACATACCATGGATTGCTTCCTAACAAGGACTGGTTCTGCTAGCTCCCTGACAGTCCACAGGTGGTGAGTCGAAACCTGACATTAGCAGAATACATTCTATTTGAATACAACATGTTTAAATCAGGAGAATGTTCCTCTACCAAACTAGCAGGCAGAAACTGCAGCTACACAGCCATCAGAGCTGCCCACCCTTTCTCCCTTCTCTTGCGGTTTTCTCTCTTAAATAAAAGAACAGAAAAGCCGGGAATCTGCCGACTGTACTCACT